ACTGCGCCAGTCGCTCGGGCGCGTCCTCCAGCGCAACGCCGCCGACTCGGCGCCAGCGCACGGCTGGGCCGCCGCCGCCAGGCGCGGGGGCCCTGGAGGGGGCTGAGCTGCCAGCTGACGGACGTGCGCTCCGTGCGCCCTGCTGCTGCCGGGCAGGCCGCTGGCGCCGCGGGCGAGGCCCGAGCTGACGCCGCCCGCCGGGCTGGCGGCGGCGCCGCGCTGGACCGACTGCGAGGCGCACGGAGGGTGGCGCCGCGGCCGCCGCGCGGAGCAGAGCGCTCGACTGGCAGGGGCGCTGGCGAGCGCGGCCCTGCCACTGCTGCCGCTGGGGGCGGCGCTGGGCGGGCCGGAAAGCGCCGCCCCCGGCGGCGCCGGCGCTGGTGCCGCCCCCGCCGCCGGCCCCGCCGCCGCCGGCCCCGCCGCTGGCCCCGCCGCCAGCCCCCCGTTTGGCCGCGGCGGCCGCGCGCGCGGGCTGGCGCGGACGCGGGCGCGGGCGCGGGCGCGCGTCGTCTGGCTGGCCTGGGGGCCCTTTTTCGGACTCCGGGCCCCTGGGGCCGCGAGAGGGAAGGGGAGGAGAAGAGGAGGAGGAGGAGGAGGAGGAGGAGGAGGGGGAGGAGGAGAAGGAGGAGGAGGAGGAGGAGGAGGAGGAAGAGGATGAGGAGGAGGAGTCAGGAAGCGGAGGGGGAAAAGGAGGAGGAAAAGGAGGAGGCGGAGGAGGAGGAGGAGGAGGAGGAGGAGGAGGAGGAGGAGGAGGTGGGGGAGGAGGATGTGGACATTGAGGTCTATAGCCGTTTCGGCTCAAGCTTGATTCGCGTCCGAGGGGCAGGTTCACAACCTTTTCCCAGGGTCTGCCAATTGCGAGCGTTCCAGTTTCGACAATCTTCGCTCTTGCCAAGGCATTTCCACCTCGGGCAATGTCGATGCGGCGCCCGTGGCTCGCGCTCGCTTCTCCAGGGGTTCCTGCAGACGGCGGAGGGCGCCCATCCTAGAGGTTCGCAGTGCGGCTCGGGGTCTGCTGGTTCTGCAGGTGCTGTGGATCCTCTTGTTTCCCAAGGCCCCTTGCAAACCGCTCGCGCAACGCGTGGAGGTGCTCCCAACGAATTTTCGGCTGCCCCCATCACGAGAAGCGAGCTGGACTTCCCGAACTCGTTCCGCAGGGATATCGCGAATTCAGTGGATACGCATTTCGGCTAGATCAGGCGCGGCTTGGTGGCCGAGGTGTCAGCACACAAGGATGGTTTGGTCAATGCGGTGGTTGGCAGGTTGAACAGATGTTGATTTCGATTTCAGCCAGGGCCGCCACAGCGCGATTCGTGCAGCAACTTGATGGGAGCAGGGCTTGAGGTTGACCATTCTTCCGAGGCTACGTGCGAATATGAGGAGATTGAGGAGGAGGAGGAGGGGCATGAAGAGGAGGAGGAGGACGAGGAGGAGGAAGACGAGGTTGATACGGTCGGGAACTTTTGGATAGCGCGTCGCTCCGCGGGTTCTGGCCCACCACGCTTCGACGCGACACGTTATCCACGTCGCAGTCCCCGGCGTCAACGTCCTGAGCTTTCCCCAGCCTCCCGCCCCGCAGAGCGGAGCGACACGTTATCCGCTTGCACTGCTTAGCGTGACGCCAGGATTGCTGCGGCGACACGCTATGCAACATGTCCCAGCCGTATAGAGAAAGGGGTGGATGATCATGAGGATGGGAAGCCGAAAGGTCAGGAGGATGACGAGGATGAGGATGAGGACTGTGATGATGATGATGATGATGATGATGATGATGATGATGATGATGATGAGGATGATCATGCTGATGATGATGATAATGATGCTGCTGATGATGATGATGTCGATGCTGATGCTGATGCTGATGCTGATGCTGATGCTGATGCTGATGCTTATGATGATGATGATGATGATGATGCCGCTGATGGTGATGATGGTGATGATGATGCTGATGCTGATGCTGCTGATGCTGATGCTGCTGCTGCTGCTGATGATGATGATGATGATGATGATGATGATGATGATGCTGATGCTGCTGATGATGATGATGATGATGATGATGATGATGATGGTGGTGGTGGTGGTGGTGGTGGTGGTGGTGATGGTGGTGGTGGTGGTGATGATGATGATGAGGAGGAGGAGGAGGAGGACTTGGGTGAGCAGGATGACGATCAGGAGCAGGATTCTGATTATGACGATGCTGGTGAGGGTGATGGTGACAGTGGTGGTAATGATGATGGCAGTTATGATGATGATCATGATGGTAATGGGAACGATGGCAAATACAAGGATGAGGAAGCGATCCCTACCGCACTTTGGTCGGCGATGTCTCTTTGCACATGCCGCCAATGGGGGAGGGGGGGGGGCAGCGCAGCGGACAAGGTTGGCGAGGGGGAGTCATGTTTAGCCAAGTGCTGCGTCGTGGCCAAGGGGGAGGGTGCCTGGTGAACAATGGGCGTGCGACCCCCACTCGGGTGCAGCTGCGCCGACCATTTAGAAACCTCCTCTTGTTTGAGGGAGTTTCTGTGGAACTCACGTCATCCTCACCCCCGGCGCGAAGAGCACGAGTCCAGAGCGGCCTCCGGCACCGTTTCCGGACAGATCCGGTGGATCCGCTGGATCCGCTGGATCCGGTGACGAATCCCAAACCGGCGCCCTCGCTTGAGACATCCTCACAAAACCGGCCCCGGGGGAGGTGCCCAGAGGAGCCCAGAGCGGCCTCCGGCACCGTTTCCGGACAGATCCGGTGGATCCGCTGGATCCGCTGGATCCGGTGACGAATCCCAAACCGGCGCCCTCGCTTGAGACATCCTCACAAAACCGGCCCGGGGGAGGTGCCCAGAGGAGCCCAGAGCGGCCTCCGGCACCGTTTCCGGACAGATCCGCTGGATCCGCTGGATCCGCTGGATCCGGTGACGAATCCCAAACCGGCGCCCTCGCTTGAGACATCCTCACAAAACCGGCCCCGGGGGAGGTGCCCAGAGGAGCCCAGAGCGGCCTCCGGCACCGTTTCCGGACAGATCCGGTGGATCCGGTGGATCCGCTGGATCCGATCCGAATCCCAAACCGGCGCCCTCGCTTGAGACATCCTCACAAAACCGGCCCCGGGGGAGGTGCCCAGAGGAGCCCAGAGCGGCCTCCGGCACCGTTTCCGGACAGATCCGGTGGATCCGGTGGATCCGCCGACGAATCCCAAACCGGCGCCCTCGCTTGAGACATCCTCACAAAACCGGCCCCGGGGGAGGTGCCCAGAGGAGCCCAGAGCGGCCTCCGGCACCGTTTCCGGACAGATCCGCTGGATCCGGTGGATCCGACGAATCCCAAACCGGCGCCCTCGCTTGAGACATCCTCACAAAACCGGCCCCGGGGGAGGTGCCCAGAGGAGCCCAGAGCGGCCTCCGGCACCGTTTCCGGACAGATCCGGTGGATCCGCTGGATCCGCTGGATCCGGTGACGAATCCCAAACCGGCGCCCTCGCTTGAGACATCCTCACAAAACCGGCCCCGGGGGAGGTGCCCAGAGGAGCCCAGAGCGGCCTCCGGCACCGTTTCCGGACAGAATCCGCTGGATCCGCTGGATCACTCCCAAACCGGCGCCCTCGGAGGGAGGTGCCCAGAGGAGCCCAGAGCGGCCTCCGGCACCGTTTCCGGACAGATCCGCTGGATCCGCTGGATCCGACGAATCCCAAACCGGCGCCCTCGCTTGAGACATCCTCACAAAACCGGCCCCGGGGGAGGTGCCCAGAGGAGCCCAGAGCGGCCTCCGGCACCGTTTCCGGACAGATCCGGTGGATCCGGTGGATCCGCCGACGAATCCCAAACCGGCGCCCTCGCTTGAGACATCCTCACAAAACCGGCCCCGGGGGAGGTGCCCAGAGGAGCCCAGAGCGGCCTCCGGCACCGTTTCCGGACAGATCCGCTGGATCCGCCGGTGACGAATCCCAAACCGGCGCCCTCGCTTGAGACATCCTCACAAAACCGGCCCCGGGGGAGGTGCCCAGAGGAGCCCAGAGCGGCCTCCGGCACCGTTTCCGGACAGATCCGGACAGATCCGGTCCGGTGGATCCGCGCCCCGGGGGAGGTGCCCAGAGGAGGAATGAGGAGGAGGAGGAGGAGGAGGAGGAGGAGGAGGAGGAGGAGGAGGAGGAGGAGGAGGAGGAGGAGATGATGGAGCTGCGGGGTGGAGGAGGACAGACGGAGGCAAGAGAAGGATGGAGGAGGAGAAGGAGGAGGAGGAGGAGGAGGAGGAGGAGGAGGAACCTCATCACCCTCGCCAACAAGCGCACGCACCTTCTTCTATATACAGAAACTCCCGATCAACCGCAGAGCGGCCGGCTAGTAATATCGGCCCGGCGTGTCATGGCTTTCAAGCCCGTCCCACCTGCGCGTGCTCGATCCTCTCCATGTGAGGCTGGCCCAGTGTTCGCCGCTCGCCGAAGATTTACCAGTCATTTTGGTTGCTGGATCATCGTCCTTGCCAAAAGGGGCAGGGTGGATAATAAAGGAAGGATGAACGAAAGCCCAAGGAAATCGCCATTTCCATTTCTTTTCTCGTTGTCGTCGTCGTCGTCGTCGTCGTCGTCGTCGTCGTCGTCGATGTGATCGTCGGCAGGCGTGCCAGCTGGTGCATGTTGCTTCCCCAGATGCCACTTCGGACATCTGCCCCTTCTGCTGCCTGCCGATTCGTGGGGTGAGTGGCGCTGGAACGCTGGGGGGAACAGGAGAGCTTTCAGAATCAAGGTTTGGGGGAGCTTCTTCTTGGGGCGGCTCCTGAGGCTTCCAGGGACCTCTGGAGGTCTGCGGAGTAAAAGGGTGGCAAAGAGGATGGGAGAAGAGGATCTATGAAGTACACAGGCACCAAATTGTGGAGCCTTGGGGGTTGTATGGGTAATAGCAGGTTGAGAGCGGAGAGCGCCGCAGAACCCAGAGAACTTCCTGATTTTCTTTTTCTTCCAGCAGGAGGGCGCTCAGAGGAGGAGAGTTTTTTTGTACGAGCCTGGGCAGGCCAACCACAGCCAATCCCTCCAGCAAGAAGTGCGCCTACTGCTCGGAGCCAGCGATCGACAGAGAGGTGCTCTTCTGAACCTGCTGTCGGAGGAGGGTTTCTTGAGATATCGGCGGCCCTCCTCCCCCTCCTCCTCCTCCTCCTCGTCCTCCGTAGCAATTTTGGCTCAAGGCCAAGATGGTTTCCCTATCACTGCCTCCACGGGGTAGGCTCCCACAAGCCTCGGCTTTACGCACGCTGCCACCACCAGGGGCTAGCAGCAGCCCAAGTGTTGTCCTGCTCATCGCACTGGCCTGGCAGGCGGTTATTCATAGCATCCATCCATATTCTGTCGCCACGTGGTGGTACCGAACTCCCGCTGGCGGTTGGCGTCACGCCCAGCGTGGCATGCCAATCTCTTCCGACGAGGACCGTAGCACGAGCCGCAGCCAACAACGCCGTCGAAGAGGAGGCGCAGAGTGTCGCCGAGCCACCGCGGCAGCAGACACCCTCACGCTCATGACCTCAGGTGCTGGCGGACAACGGACCGCCAGATCAGGACGCTCTTCGGCAAGACCAGGTCTTTCCAGCCTCCCTGGTGGACAGCAGCATGACCCGATCCAGCAGTCCGACCCATGGCGACTTCGAGGACCTCTCCAACTCGACGCCGAGCAGCAGCGCGCCTTCGAGAAAGACTTGGAGGCATTCCCCACCTTCGCATCGCGAGCAGAAGGCCCCGCTCATCAACCTGATCATGTTCCTGCCACTCCCGTCGGTGGCCTTCCCACGCCAGTCGCTGACCGCTCTCCCGTTCGGCTACCTGGGCTTCCTGCGGACCTCGATCGCGCACTTCAAGACCTCATGCAGCACCAGATGTCCCAGGCAGTGGGCGCATTCAAGCAGCAGGCAGACACCCTCCTCGACCAGTCCCGTGAGAAGTTCCGCCAATTCCTTCAACAACAAGTACTACAGACCGAGCGCAGAGTGGATTGCCTCCAAGACCAGGTGGCGAACACCAGGCGCGAACAAGACCGACGAGCATCATGACAAACTATTACGTGGATGGATATCGACAAGATGCGCGACGCCCTCGCGCTCACGGAGGCCCAGCTCCCCATCGCGGACCTCTCCAGGCTCTCCGAGTGGGGCCGTTCGCCCGACCCGCCCCTATTCTCCATCGGCCCCCAGCGGATCATGTTCCCCAGCGTCGTCTTCCATGACCTACATGTTTGGATTGTAGACGCCGGCCTCCTGCCTGACCAAGTGGAGCTACATGGCGACGCTCCTGCCAGGCGCTTCATCCTGTAGGTCAAAGGCGCGAAGGAGGTGGCCATGCCACGCGCCCTCGCCCTTAACGCGCTCTCCGTGACGCTGCTGGCAGATGGAGGCGCTTCTACTCCACGGGCGCCAACGGGCAGCGGCTCGACATTTTCATCGACCCCGACAAATCCCCCAAGCAGACCCGCAAATAAATCCAGCGCAAGAAGCTTCAGCAGCTCCTCGCCCAGCGTCTCCCGCAGCTGCGCTGGAGGGCACTCCGCGCGAAGAGCGAGGTCCTCTGCGACGCGGTCCCGCTGGCGCGCCTCAACCTCAAGGGCCAGGCCGACCCCGCCACCCTCGAATGGAACGGGCGCGCGCTGGCGAACCCAGATCCCAAGGGCCTCAACCGCGGGGGCATGCCCGCAGCCTTCCAGGCCCTCTTCGCGGACGCAGAGACAGCAACGCGGTGTTCCTAGCCACCCGTGGGCCCCGTGGCACGATGTTGACGCCTCCGCGCCGTCCACATTCACCAGCTGGAATGATCGCGCCCCCATGTGCCCCGGGCCCCGCGGGCGGCGCCGCGAGCAAGCAGCTCTCGCCAATCACATGCGCAGCAAGCGCGTCATCCTGCTTCAGGAGGTCCATGGCGCCGAGGCGCTCTTCCGCACCTGGCTGGGCGCGCGACCGTGCCCGTGCGAGCTCTTCCTCCGAGTTCGCGGCGGACCCCGAGCGCGTGGCGCCCTCCTCGGCTGGTGGCGTTTCTGTTCTTATCCCCTGGCTCGCGCGAGCGCAGCTGGGGCGCCTCCGCCCTGACTCACCAGCCCCCCGACTTCGAGCGCGTCTCGCCGGTGCCTGGGCGCGCCCAGCAGCTGGTCATCAGCAATGCGAACGCAGGCCGCCTCCTCGCCATATGAACATCCACAATCATGAACTCCAAGCGCGTGACCGTGACAGGGCCAGCGCAGCTTGGCACGCGCTCCGCGAGTGGGCGGCTCGCGACTACACTGCGCGCACCCTCTTGGCCATGGGTGACTTCGACACCGCCGGCCGCCCGCCGAGCAGTTTCGACCGGCTCCTGGCGATGCGCGCTTTCAGCCGGATAATGCAGCAGCGGCCTTTTTGGAATGCTCTTTTTGATTTTAGGTCGGTCGAGGTCGAGTTCCCCGCGCGCTTTAGCGCTGCAGACTACGCTGCTTCATCCATCGACCGCGCGTTCACCGGCCTCCCCTCCCACGCGGCGCAGGAGCTCTCGATGGCTGTCCATGTTCTGCGCGGCGCCGCCATTTTCTATGACTAGCGCCTCAGTGACCGCGCCGTCATCTCCTTCTCGATCGGCGTCGAGCCGCGCGCGCCACCTGCCGAGCAAGCCATTTCTCCAGCTGTGTTCCGCGACCCCAGCTACGCCGCATACTTGCAGAACATCATCGACGCTGCGGACGCGCAGCACCTCCCCATCGAGACCCGCTGGCGTCAGCACAGGCACTACATGTCATAAGCGACAGGGTCCGCCTCAGCTCGGGTGACCTCGCCAAGCCAGGTTTTTTGGGCGGCAGGGTCATCGCCGCGCGCTCGATCTCGCGGGCGATCTGGCGCCGAGTTGTTCAGCCGGCGCGACGCCTTCACGCTGCCACGGGGCTGGGGGAACGCTTCTTCGACGTCGACTCCCCGACCCTGAGGCTGACCGATGGCGCCCAGTTCGTGAACCTCTCGTCCTCCTTGCGCCGCGACTTCGAGGCGCGCTGGCGCTCTCTGGCGCAGCGGGCAGCGAGGCTCCCACGGGGCCACCCAGAGGCCTTGCCCCCTGGGAAGCTCCAGAGGGCGTTGCGGGTCTCTCAGAAGCGCGCCCTCCTCTGGGCCCCCTGGAAACGCCGACTCGTCCTCCGAGGAATCAAGGCCACGGGCCTAGATGGCCCTGCTGCCGTGGCCAGAGAGAGAGAGAGAGAGAGAGAGAGAGAGAGAGAGAGAGAGAGAGAGAGAGAGAGAGAAAGAGGAGATAGAGAGAGAGAGAGAGAGAGAGAGAGAGAGAGAGAGAGAGAGAGAGAGAGAGAGAGAGAGAGAGAGAGAGAGAGAGAGAGAGAGAGAAAAGAGAGAAATATAGAGAGAGAGATAGAGAGATAGAGAGAGAGAGAGAGAGAGAGAGAGAGAGAGAGAGAGAGAGAGAGAGAGAGAGAGAGAGAGAGAACGGCAACATGGTCGACGCACCGCGCAACCACAGGCGCCCCACCTTCCCCCGCAGGACCGTCGACTCCGACGCCGCCCGCGCGCGCGTTGACATGCGCGCGCCGCTGGGGGGCGAGCTGGACACCCTGCCGCCATCCATGCACCCGCTGCGGGCCTTCCTGACGCGGACTTCCCCTTCGGCGCCTGGCACAGACAGATTGCCGTGCAGCTCTTGGATCGCCCGCGACCGCTCGCTCTCCATCCTGGAGGACCTGGCTCTCACCTCTGCTCGGGGCACTCGGCCCCCCGCGACTGGAACGACTCAGACTTTGCGTGTCTTCCGAGGGGTGGCGACCTCCTGGGCGAGTTCGCGACTGATCGCCTGCCCGAGGACACTCGCGCACTCTCTCTGAAGAACACGGGCACCAGGGCCATCGCCGGCGCCGCGAACGACCCCGCCAAGCCGTTCGTTGCCGAGCGGATCCAAAAGGCGCAGCAGGGCTTCGTCATGGGCAGGAACTTCACGCAGCACATTGCGCGACTGGACGCTGGTATGCGCCGCGGTAGCCTCTTGGAGAATGGCATGGGGCGCCGCCCCGTCTTCGTCGGCTTCGACTTCGCGTCGGCCTTGCCGTCTCTCGGCAGATCGCGGCTCTTCCAAGCGTTGCGCCGCTTCGGACTGCCGACGGACAACATGCGCCTGCTCGAGGCCATGCACTGCGCGCCCGCCTCCTCGGTCAAGGTCGACGGCGCACGCCGCCCCGCATTCGCGATCGAGTCGGGCGTTGCCCAGGGCTGCCCTGAGAGTGAGCCCGCCCGGGCGATTGCAATGGGCCTTCTGGTCCGCCGCGTCGCCGCCGCCATCGAGCTGGACAGCGCGGATGCTACCTCGCCGAACTACCTGGGCGCATGCGCGGGCGACCTGGGCATCGCGTGCGAATCCATCGGGGTGATCGGCAAAGTGACTGAGGCCTCTGATGCTGCTGCCGGCCTCGCTCTCCTCTCACTCGAGGCTCGCAGGCGTGTTGCTGTTTCTGTTTGGGCGGCAGCGTCGCCTGCCACCATTGCCCATGCCCGGGACCTGCCCCCCGCGCTCGCGCCCTCCTGGCGTGCGTTTTCGATCGAGGGGCGTGCCGAATACTTCGGGATCCTCCTTGGCCCATCGGCCTCTCTGGCTGACCAGTGGCGCGCCCCTCGGCAGACATGGCGGCAGCGCGCTCGCTCGCTTCGGCGCGTGCACTCTGGAAGCGAGGCCACGGTCCGTCTCTGTAACAAGTCAGTTTTGTCTACTTTAAGTTAGGTGGGCCATTTTTCCCAGCCCCCGCGCCATGCGAAAGCCGTGGGCACATGTTCTACCAGATGTTCGGTCTGCCGCCGAACAATTTCCGCAGGGTAGACCTTCTCGCCATGGCGGATTGGTCGCCGCCACCTGTGATTCGCTGATTACAGGTGATGTCTGTCGCGGCTGCCGCTTTTTCTGCGTCGCGCGCTCTGGCTGAGCTATGAGGATCTCACTTCGCTCTGCTCCGTGACGCGGTGTGGGAGGAAAGTGCAGTTCACTCTTTCCAACGCTGGTTGGACGGACTGTGGTCTCCCAGCTTCTGGGGGCAACCGCGCCCCATTGTGCAGTGCTACACCCAGCTGCAAGACGTGCAGCGCACTCCTCCATTCGCACCAGCGATGATGCAAGATGCTCACCGCGCAGCGCAGGCGGACAAGGCTTTGGCGTTGGAAGCCCAGCCGCCGCACCGCCACCACTTCCAGAGAGCCTTTGCTGCATCTCTCTGCAAGTCCTCATTCACCTCGCCCTTCACAGTCGCCCTCACAAAGCGGGTTGGCGCGTGGGGCTTACATATCCACCCCGAGCCACTGTCCGAGCGATGGGAGTCGCTCGCCAATTTCCCGCGCAGCGTTCGCCCCAGCAGGCGGTGGGCAACACTCAAGACCCTGGCTGGCGGGTGGACGACCAACGCCCGCACGCACGTGCTCGCGCCACGCAGCTGTGTGTTCGGCTGCTTCGAGCAGCCAGATTCATTCCCTGTCTTCGCCTCTTGAGCCTCCTCTGGTCCCCCGACCCTCCACCCATCATCAGCGCGCTGACGAGCGGGGGGCTGGGCCCCTCAGCAGCCTACCCGCCTGTGCCGAGCGAGCTGTCGTTCCGGGCCACCATCCGACGCGTTGCCCTCGCGCTCCACCTTTTATAGCAAATGCGGAACGGCCACTGCCAGCCAGCCAAATGCGTTACCGACTGCCGCCCGTGCTCTCGTCGCGCGCTGGCCAAATTCTCCGGTTAGCGCACGCTCGCCTCAGGTTTTCTCATCATCATCATCATCATCGTCATCATCATCATCATCATCATCATCATCATCACCATCCTCCCCCTTTTCTGCTGCTCCCCCCTCGGAAGTTTTTGGCGCAAACACATTGTCGGCATTTTTCTTGTCAGAGCCAATTCGATGAGAGTCGACGCCAGGCCCACGTACATCCAGCATGTGTGTACATATTGAGCATGCGAGTGTGACGTGTCGAGTCCCTGCTCGCAATTCTTTTGGTTTCGCCGAACCCCTTTGCCACACGTGATGATACCGCTGCCAATGTATGCATGGTCGTAGAGGTGTTTCGAGTAGGAGCTGTACGAGCAGGGTGCCCCATGAAGGTTAGGCACCCGCATAATGGGTTTGTCAGTGCAACTGACCGTGCAGTATTGTGCACACCGTTCATTCATAATTCTGTGTGGCAGGGTTGAGCTCGATGGCCTAATGCTTGCTCGTTGCTAGTATTTCCATTCCTGCCTTGCTTGCGACATTCATAGCGCCAGAATTCGAGTCATGAGTCGGCAGACTTGCATATGAGCGATGCGTGCTTGTAGGAAGGTCACGATAGAACGGCATCTTCGTAGACATGGTCGGTTTGAATGCAATTGAGAGTGTAACCAGAAAGTGTGGCGGCAATCGCACTGATGAATGGAATCTCAACGGTCGTTTCCAGGGCCAGCACATGTCAGATTCGGTGCAGCACCGTGCTGCGACACAGCTTGTATGACAGCCTTGGGAGGCAAGCCCAGATAGAGGACCACGCAGCTCAGCCCTCCGCCGTCGCACCTGGCAGCGCTGGCGGCTGCCAGAATCGCAGTCTTTGGTTAGGCCCTGGTCCGCTATGGAGATATCGATCGCCGACGGCAGGCTGTACGTCAGGGATGTCCCGATTCTGCCACTCCCGTGCTTATTCCTCCTTCTCCTTCAGTGCCTCTCCCAGTGCTTCTTTTGCTTTGTTTCCGGCTGGCTGTCAGATCTGATGATTCTCGCGTGTGGTGGGGGAAAAGAAGCAAGTCCAGGATGCCTCGATCCCAATCTGGGGTCTGTCGCGTGTGGACGGTGCTTGAGGATTTGGGCACTCTCCCCCTCCTGCTTCTTGCCTCGCTCCGTTTTCCCTCCTCTCTCCCGCCCTGCGTTCCTCATCCTTTTGTCCGCCCTCCCTCCCTGCCTCTCTCCCTCTTTCCCCCCCCACCCTCACGGTTCTTTCTGCGTCCGGTGCAGTTGTCCATCTCACTTGCTGGCAAACCTGACATGTCTGCGCCTGCTGCTACCGCCTCGGCTGCTGCTGCTGCTCCTGGTTGCGGAGCCCAGGTGCCAGGGCAAAAGTCAAAATACTGCCTGGAGTGCTGGGACTGGTGGATGGGCTCTGCAGATGGGCTTGAAGGACCTCGCCTTTTAGCGCCCGTCCTTGCTGAATGTGGCACTTGGCATCAAAAAGCAATGATTCATCGTGGCTACCCACTCCCCCAGCAACCGCCACTGTCGTGATGAAGTGCAAGCATGGTCGTTCGAGATGCGGGACATCGAATACAAATTGTGCTGGCCTCCGGCCAGTGCCGCCGATCAGGGGCGCTCCAGATAGTGATGATGAATCTGATGATGATGATGATGATGATGATGATGATGATGATGATGATGATGATGATGATGATGATGATGCTGATTATGATTATGATTATGATTATGATTATGATTATGATTATGAATATGATTATGATTATGATTATGATTATGATGATGTTTATCATGGTAATGGCCATGGTAAAGAGCATGAAGATGGTGATGACGACGACGAGAATCAGGAGTGTGATTATGGTGATGGTGATTGTGGTTTTGATGATGGTAGCGGTGTGCCCACAATGATGCTGACAATGATGACGGTGGTGTTGATGTTGATGATGTGAATTCTCAGGGGTGCGGACGGGAGGACGTAAAAGTGAGAGCAGGGAACGTCGGAAGCTTGAAAAGGAGAGAACCCTCCCCCCCCCACACACACACACACACACACACACACACACACACACATTCACACACACACACATTCACACACACACCACACACACACACGCACGCACGCACGCACGCACGCACGCACGCACGCACGCACGCACGCACGCACGCACGCACGCACGCACACACACACACACACACCACACACACACACACACACACACACACCACACACACACACACACACACACACACACACACACCACACACCACACACCACACCACACACACACCACACACACACACACACCACACACCACACACCACACACCACACACCACACACCACACACCACACACCACACACCACACACCACACACCACACACCACACACCACACACCACACACCACACACCACACACCACCACACCACCACACCCCACACCCCACACCCCACACGCACACGCACACGCACACGCACACGCACACGCACACGCACACGCACACGCACACGCACACGCACACGCACACACACGCACGCACGCACGCACGCACGCACACACACACACACACACGCACACACACACACACTTACATACACACACACACACACATGTACACACACACACACCACACACAAAAATATACAAAAACACACACATTTAACAATTCAGAGGGAATGACTGATTTTTGCCTCTCGGGGCCCTCTTGGGGAAGGCTCGTGGGGCTCTTGGGGCGTCTCGAAAGCTTCTCGGGCCGTCTTGGGGCAACTTGGGCATCTTGGACCTGTCGTTCGGTGATTGGGGCCCTGTTGGCCCGTCTTGGGCGTCTCTTGGGCTCGAAAAGGTCATGCGGGAACATTCTGGGGGGCCCCAGAGGGCGCGCGGGGAGCCCCAAGAGATTTGAGAGCTTGGGGTCCGGGCCCACAGTAGCTCAGGGGATTGAGCAAGGGACCTGGGGAGGCCTCTCGGGGGTGGTTTTGGGGCCTCTTGGGGCCTCTTTCGGGTCTCTTGGGGGCCTTCTGGGGTCTTGTGAGCCTGTTGGGGCCTTTGGGGGCTTCTTGGAGCCTCGTGAGAACCTCGTAAGGGTAAAGGCTGGGATTGTCGGTTCGGGTTCCCCCTCTTCGGCCTCTCCTGGGGCTGTCTTGGAGCCCTCTTGGGCCGGCTTGGGCGCTTCTTGGGCCGTCTAGGCGCCCTCTTGGGCCGTTGGGGGGTCGTCTTGGGAGCCTCGTGAGCCGTCTTGTCGCGGTCTCGGGGGCTCCTGGGACTGTCGGCAACGTCGTGAAGGCCGAAATGTCGTCTAAGGTAACAAGGCACGTTATCCCATAGGAATTTGACGATTTGGATCTCGTGCGTCTCTCTTCGCAGTGGTTGGCTACCTATTAGGGCGTCTTGGAGGCGTCTTGCGAGCACGACATGCGTCGGGAACGGCGTTTGGAATGGCGTCGCCCTCCCCCCCCTTCATTGTCAGAGCGTCGGAACGGCGTCGGGAATGGTGTGGGCCCCCCCCGCCCCCGAGCACTAAGTGCGTCGGGAATGGCGTCCCCTCCCCCTTACCCTTAATGGCGTGGGCCCCCCGCCCCTGAGCACTACATGCGTCGGGAATTGCGTCGGGAATGGCGTCCCCCCTCCCCCAGGACTGCCCCACCCCCTTGCAGAGCGAAGCTTGAGCGAGCTCAAACTCACGCTCTCAGAAGCTCACATGCCAGATCGGCGGATTTGATATTTGCCCTTGCGGTCGGGTGTTGCTTAGGTTCTAGGTCTGCGGGGAGCGATGATCAGACACCGTTTCTCCTGCCGTTGTTGCGGCATGTGCAGCTCAAGCCAGCATGCCTGCATGACGTAGCGTACGTCAGCAGATCGGTGCATGTCTTTGCGCACCACGGGTTTATCGGGTGAAACGTGATCTTCTCATCGAGCAGCATCCGATGTGTAAGTTTGTTGAGATGTCTTGGCGTTGCCGGGGAAGGGGGGATTGCGTACATTAGAAGAGCCCGATGAAGGCAAGCTATGCAAGCAATTGTGTTGAAAACAATCATGTCGGTCCCCAAAGCAGTTGGGGCCCTCCATACATGCGTGGAAACGGAGAGTGCAATTGTGAGGGTAACCGCACTTGATGCTATCACGGCACAGCGATATCACGCCATTTTACCGCATGGTCAGAATCTAGGCGGTCATATCAGACCATGACGTTCGCACAGCATGGTATCAGTCGCACCGTTGTCATTAAAATTAACATTCGCATGCCACCACGCCATCGTGCCATTACCTAGCCTCGGCATGTGACAATACTCACAGATAGCACTATCAGACCATAGCGTTGTACACAATAGTATAGCGTTGCCTACCATAGTGCAGCGCAGCTCAGCTAAGAGTTTGCGCGAGGATCCAACGACCAGGCCGCCAGGAACCAGCCTGGTCGCAGCGGCCACGCGGCATTATAGTCACAACGAAAGTTGGAGCCACTCAGGCTGCCCGATTCGGGAGCCAGCAGGAGGAAGAATGGGGGGGGCAGAATAAGGGAACCGGACGGAAGAAAACACGGGGGGTGCGGGAGCCCGACGTTGCGGAAGGAATACAAAGACCCAACACCAGAAGATGAACGGTAATACTAGCCGGCCGCTCTGCGGTTGATCGGGAGTTTCTGTATATAGAAGAAGGTGCGTGCGCTTGTTGGCGAGGGTGAGGATGAGGTTCCTCCTCCTCCTCCTCCTCCTCCTCCTCCTCCTCCTCCTCCTCCTCCATCCTTCTCTTGCCTCCGTCTGTCCTCCTCCACCCCGCAGCTCCATCATCTTCTCCTCCTCCTCCTCCTCCTCCTCCTCCTCCTCCTCCTCCTCCTCCTCATTCCTCCTCTGGGCACCTCCCCCGGGGCGCGGATCCACCGGATCTGTCCGGATCTGTCCGGAAACGGTGCCGGAGGCCGCTCTGGGCTCCTCTGGGCACCTCCCCCGGGGCCGGTTTTGTGAGGATGTCTCAAGCGAGGGCGCCGGTTTGGGATTCGTCGGCGGATCCAGCGGATCCACCGGATCTGTCCGGAAACGGTGCCGGAGGCCGCTCTGGGCTCCTCTGGGCACCTCCCCCGGGGCCGGTTTTGTGAGGATGTCTCAAGCGAGGGCGCCGGTTTGGGATTCGTCACCGGATCCACCGGATCCACCGGATCTGTCCGGAAACGGTGCCGGAGGCCGCTCTGGGCTCCTCTGGGCACCTCCCCCGGGGCCGGTTTTGTGAGGATGTCTCAAGCGAGGGCGCCGGTTTGGGATTCGTCACCGGATCCAGCGGATCCAGCGGATCGGATCTGTCCGGAAACGGTGCCGGAGGCCGCTCTGGGCTCCTCTGGGCACCTCCCCCGGGGCCGGTTTTGTGAGGATGTCTCAAGCGAGGGCGCCGGTTTGGGATTCGTCACCGGATCCAGCGGATCCAGCCGGATCTGTCCGGAAACGGTGCCGGAGGCCGCTCTGGGCTCCTCTGGGCACCTCCCCCGGGGCCGGTTTTGTGAGGATGTCTCAAGCGAGGGCGCCGGTTTGGGATTCGTCACCGGATCCAGCGGATCCACCGGATCTGTCCGGAAACGGTGCCGGAGGCCGCTCTGGGCTCCTCTGGGCACCTCCCCCGGGGCCGGTTTTGTGAGGATGTCTCAAGCGAGGGCGCCGGTTTGGGATTCGTCACCGGATCCAGCGGATCCAGCGGATCCACGGATCTGTCCGGAAACGGTGCCGGAGGCCGCTCTGGGCTCCTCTGGGCACCTCCCCCGGGGCCGGTTTTGTGAGGATGTCTCAAGCGAGGGCGCCGGTTTGGGATTCGTCACCGGATCCACCGGATCTGTCCGGAAACGGTGCCGGAGGCCGCTCTGGGCTCCTCTGGGCACCTCCCCCGGGGCCGGTCTTGTGAGGATGTCTCAACCTTGAGACTCCAAGGTCGATCTATAGTGCGGGGTCGAACTATAGATCGACCTGGCACTTTCCTTGGGTCGCACTATAGTCCAACCCATGATTTTTGGCCAGGTCGTACTTTTCTTCGCTCGCGCATTGTTAAGGATCCCCTGAGTGAGGGGGCATGCGTCCCCTGAGCGAGGGGTATCGGCTGCATCACATTGCGCGCATGTTACAACATCCCGCAGCTGCGAAGGCTCGAGGGCACATAGCGCTACTCTTGCTTGCGCGCACTGCGCGGGGGGTGGGCAATGGTCAAGGGCAAGACGGAGGTGAAGATACGGGCTTCTTCTGTGACTGAGGAACAGTTGAAGCCGCTCGTGAAACAGCACATTGATCTCATCGAAAAATGCCAACTGCAAGGGGGCATAGATGACTTCATGAAGAACAACATGCCGTTTCTCTTGCCGCTTGCGCAGCTCACCACACGCGTCAAATGGAAGAACCTCCAGGACGTCGTGTTGAAGCAGAAGCCGAACATGCACCAGGAAGAGTGTAGGCGTTTC